GAATCTCATGGCGTTGTGTGTGGTTGTCTGCAAGCCAACCCCTTCCCAAGCTGATCCTTCCTGGTCTCAAGACCCCCCAGGCTCGTAGCCCCTGCCTCTTCTTTGACTTGGCAGCCATGGGTCGGATTGAAGTAGCTTTGCAACGGGGTCGCTTGGTGTCCCTCTGGGGCCTGGGGCTGAAGTACGTGGAGATATTGGCAGCTATGTGTCCTGGAGGACCTTTGTCTTCAGTCAAGTTCAAGGAGATCCCCGTTGAGTTTTCAGAAGTAAAGTCTCTGTTTTTCAAAAATGCAGTCAGAGAAAACTTAGAAATGCATGTTAAGAAGAAGAGACTACAACATGAGTGGGGATATTCTACCCTGGTCCAGAGGTCCCTTAGAAGCTTAATTGGAGAAGCACCCACCTGGCATCGTGATCTTCCAAAGGCGGTGACTCAGATCTCCTTGCTTCATCTAGAGTTGCATTTCCTTTCTGAGACGGTCAAACAAAACCTGGAGCTCCACGTTCAACGGCTAAAGTTACAGCGAAGGTGGGGCATCCCTCAGAAAGTCCATCGGTCTGCAAAGTTTTTTCATTCACTCGTTCCAGAGGAGAAACCTCAAGCCACATTTGGAGAAACTCAGGTGGACAGTGGAAGGTGGGGAGAAACCAACACTCTCCTCCCAAAGAACAAGGTATGTCTAGAAGATCTGCTTAGATATACTCTGGAGACTCACCTCAAGAAAAAATCTCTGGAGATTAAGTTCCAGTTAATAGGATATAAGAAGTTTTCTGGCCCCATCAAACATGCTTTCCTTCCTAAATGTTCCCGTGTGTCCTCAGAAATCAAACCCAGACCATCTTGCTTGTATTTTGTGGAACAGGACATTGTGGAAAAGATGAACTTGAACATAAAACGCAAGCAATTAATGCATCTTTGGGGTCTTCCCAGTATCTACACTAAATCCTTGAACAAGATGTTTTGCAATGTTATTGTAGGAAGCCCACCACTAGAGATGCCCAAGCTCAGGAGGTGCACTCTGGAGAAGAATGTTGGCCAGGAGAGTCAAACAGCCAGTGCATTGGGTTCCAGAACAAAAGAACTGAGATTCTCAAGGAAAGGTCCATGTTTTGTCCAAACAGAGATTTTGGACCTTCTGGAGATGCACGTTCGGTGCAAGAAGTTACAGCATGAATGGGGATTACCATCCATGGTTCAAAAATCTCTTCAGGCCTTTGCTGCACTCTCTTTAGAACCAGAACGGCTCTTGGAGGGATTTGGCATTGCCATCACCAGTTCGTGGGGTGTATTAAAAGTGACAATTAAAATAACCAAGAGCTTGTTCTTCGTGGCTCTTGCGACGCAGAAGTTACTGGAGGCTCACATGAAGAACCGAACTGCAGCCCATCGATGGGGTCTTCCCAAGCGGGTCCAGGAATCATTGAAAATGTTTCTGCCCCCTGCTTCTCGTTCCCAAGTTGAGGGTGACCAGGGTCAAGCCAAAACCCCATGGCATGCCTACAACCGACTCTTCCAGACTGCCTCAAAGCAACGGTACAAAGCAGAAAACATACATCATGTAACCACAGTCAAGAAGGCTCTCCCCAAAGCTGATCTTCTAGGAGAAATGTCCCAAGGAAAAAACTCAAGGTCTGGGAGAGAAAAGATGGCACCTGACAAACAGACCACCCCAATGTCCCTTAAACAGGAAGACCTGGAATTTATGGGATTACATGTACAATACAAGAGGATCCAGCATGAGTGGGGATTACCTGCTCTTGTACACAAATCTCTACAGGCTTTTGCGCCAGTCCCACCTGAGCCTCAGAAGAGGTCCTTCAGAGGTCCAGGTCTGCAGAGATTGGGAGATGGAAGAAAAACACATAGGGGGGTACAAGTGCCATCGTCTCTGAGTAAAGTGCTGGTCCCTACCCATCGTTTGCATTTTTTTAGTCAAGATGCAAAAGATCACCTGGAATCCCATGTGAGGTGTTGGACCAGGGAACATAAATGGGGCCTTCCTCAACTGATCCAAGATTCGTTGAGAGCAATGGTTCCTCCTCCACGGGTCACTGATGAAAAACCCCATTGTGAACGTCATTTGGGATTCCACCTGCGAGAGGGAGCTCATGTTTCCCATTCCAGAAGAGAAGGATCGCCATGGTGGACTTCATCCTGGAAAGAAGCCACCATAAAGCCTATGAAGGACATCCACCAGAGGAAACCAGATGCAAGAACTAGTTCCAGCTTTCCAGTGGCTGCTATCAGTTCCCCTGAGGTGAGGCTGCTTTTCTACATCCATACGTCCTGGGATCTTTTGGAGTTTCATGTCATCCACAAGAAGATCCAGCACGCATGGGGACTGCCATCCACCATCTTGAAATCTCTGCGAATATTTGCTCCTTTTCCATTTGACCTACAGAAGCACACTAGAAGGAGAACCCAGAGGAGTCTAAGAGACAAGGCAGATTTGGAAACGAAGGCCCAGAAGCTTTGGTTCCTCAACACAAATACACAAGAACATCTGGAGACCAGTGTGAGGACCATGGCCATAAAGCATAAGTGGGAGATTCCAAAACGGATTCAACATTCATTTCATCCATTCCTGCCTCCTCTCCCCTCTTCCCAGGTTCCAGCACAGCCTCTCTGGCCTTGCAGGTATAGACCATTTCAAGACACATCATCTGCTCCCCAAATTTCAGTGCCAATGCAAAAGGCAAAGCACCAGTTGGGGATGATGAAGACACCTCCAAAAGCATTACAGGTTAAGACAGGGGGGACTACTGAAGCAACAAGGTTCTTATGTCTCAAAATAGTGCTCTCTTTCCTCCCCATTGAGGAGAGGGACCTCCTGGAATTCCACATCCAACGAAAGAAAATCCAACATGCATGGGGTCTACCATTGATGGTGCTTAGATCTCTCCACGTCTTTGCCCCGTATCTTCTTCAATCAGAGAGGACTACTGGGAAGACCATATCTAGGACACCCAGAAGGGAGACAAGAGACATGCAAGTCCTTAGCCAAGATCTCAATTTCCTCAGCACTGAGGCAAAGCAACGCTTGGAGGCCCACCTGAGACATCGCACATCAGCGCATAGATGGGGCCTTCCGGAAAGGGTTCAGCAATCTCTGAGGGCATTCCTTCCACCCGGATCTCCTTCTCGTCCTGAGATGACTGGATCCCAGCCTCATTTGCCTTTAGCACCCAAATCCTTACAGACAACTGAAGACATCTACGAACTGGTGATTTTTAAGCCAGAGGCCAAGAAGAAGAGGACTCTAGAAAAGCCCAAGAGCAAAATTGGCAATAAGAGACAGAGAGCAACAGGTAGGCCTAGCCAAACTAAAGCCCAGACTTGCTTTGGCACCAAAATGGTGCTCTCTTTCCTCACAGAGAGTAGCCGGAACCTTCTGGAATTCCACATCCAACGAAAGAAAATCCAGCATGCATGGGGCCTACCATCGATGGTGCTTAGATCTCTCCATGTCTTTGCCCCATATCTTCTTCAATCAGAGAGGACTACTGGGAAAATCACATCTAGGAAACCCAGAAGGGAAAAAATAGACGTGCAGATCCTTAGTCAAGACCTTGTTTTCCTCAGCATTGAGGTGAAAGAACGCTTGGAGGCCCATCTGAGACATCGTACATCAGAGCACAGATGGGGCCTTCCAGAAAGAGTTCGGCAATCTCTGAGGGCCTTCCTACCACCCGGATCTCCTTCTCATCCTGGGATAACTGGATTCCAGCCTCTCTTGCCTTTACCACCCAAATCCTTACAGAAAAGTGGACCTGATTTGCAAACCACAGACAGCTATGAACCGGTATTGTTTAAGCCAGAGCCCAAGCAGAAGACTTTAGAAAAGCCCAAGAGCAAAGCTGGCAATAAGAGACAAAGAGCAACAGGCAAGTCTAGGCAAACTAAAGTCCAGATTTGCTCTGGTACCAAGACAGAACTCTCTTTCCTCCCAGAGAGCAGTTGGAACATTCTGGAATTCCACATCCAGTGGAAGAGAATCCAGCATGCGTGGGGCTTGCCATCAACAGTGCTAAAATCGTTGCAAGCTTTTGCCCCACATCTCTTTAAAGCAGAGAAGATCACCGCAGAAACTGTGGGCAAGATTCCCCCACGTGATAGAGGAGAAGTGCAAATCCTTAGTCAAGACCTCGATTTTCTCAGCATTGAGGAAAAGGAACTCTTGGAGGCCCACCTGAGACATCTTACGTCAGAGCACCGATGGGGACTTCCAGAAAGGGTTCAGCGATCTCTGAAGGTGTTCTTGCCACCCAGATCTCCTTCTTGCTTTGAAATGACTGGATCCCAGCCTCTCTTGCCATATCCACCCATAGCCACCTCTGTGCAGCCTTCAAGGATTTCTGAGGGGACAGAAGATCCTCAGATCCTGCCACCTTCCTCTCCTTCTGTATACACCACCCGGGATTACGTGTCCGGTGTTGAAAATATAGCCAGCTTCCAAAAAGTGAAGTTTGGAAGTGGAAGGACCACACCAAGGGTGACGAACAAGATGCTTCTTCCAGGCTTTAAGGCAAAGATGGTCACCTGGCAAATGGAAGACGGTTCTCAGAGGACAACCAAACAGAGAGGCACTCCTCTGAAACCTTCAGCTCCTAGCAGGGAACTGAAAAACTCTCCTAAGATACCCAGTTGTCTTTCCTATCACTCCTCAGCCCCCAAGAAAGCCTCAATCTCCTCGTCAAAGTCTGATAGGCAACCAAAATGGCCAGAGAAAAAGCAAGTCTTATGGAAGAGAGGGGAAGCTGTAGTAGATGATTCCTCTCTACTAGCAGAAGACAACGAAGCCCAGGATTCTCCTTGGTCCTCAGGCGACAACATGGAAGAATTGGAAGAGTCCTCAGGAGACAACATGGAAGAGTTGGAAGGGTCCTCAGGAGACAACATGAGCCATTCTTCTCTCCAAGAGCCAGAAGCTGCCAAGATGTATTACAGGCCTTGGGAGGCACATGTTCAACCGTATCATGCTCCTATTTCTCAACAAGTCTCATATTTTTTCCCACACCATGTTCATGTTCCCAATTCTTGCTACGAGGATGTTGTAGCCAGATGTTACAGGAGGGGGCATCATGCAACACAGAGCAGTAGGCTACAAAGGAGAGGAAGTAGGCTTACATGGAGAGAGCTCCTTGACCATTCTCTGGAAGAAGCAACCAGGTGCCAAACATTTTTTAGAACCCAACTGCTGGACCATTGGTTCTCCGACTGCGAGAGATTCCTCTACCTGCAACATCCTTCATCCTCTAGAGGAAAGAGGTCCTCCACAGAAGACCAAGATGTTCAACCTCCCAAGGAGAGTAGAAAGGGCCCACATCAAAATCAAGACTTTGTAAGGACAGATGTTGAACTTCAAGTCCATCATGAAAGTTGTAGCTTGACCCTGAAGACAGATAGTAAGGAAGAGGGGAGAAAGGAGAGAGTCACCTTTTCCATCGCTAAGGAGCAGAGCCTTTTGTCCCTGAAGACCCTGTCCCAAGGCAGCACAGAATGTAAAGTCATGAGGGCAGATGATTGGGACCAAGCAAGAAGGCTGGAAGTGAAGTGGGAAGATCAGAACAAGGGAGCAGAAGAGTCCTTCAGAGAAGATATGGGCAGCTGGACATGGGCTAATTCCTCAGTAGTGAGACAACCCCCTTTAGGTGAGGACTCTGCCCCTTCCTTGGTGGCCCTCTCAGAAGAAGCAAAAGTCATCACCAGCAGCAGAGTAGCAGAAGTAGTTGTGGGATCACCTAAAGATCATGGTGTCCTAAAACCAGGTGAAATTCCAGAGGGTAAGGATGTGGTCATCTGGCAGAAAAGGCAGATTCCAGTAAACCTCATGCAAGCAGGAGCAGTGGGGCAGGAGAGTGGGGTCCAACGTCCTCTCCCTAGAAGGATGAGACCTATCAGCTGTTCATCTGGAAGGCCCCCAAAAGCTGGGAAGAAGAAACAGGTGAAGGTAAGCTGGTCTTCCAAGGAAACACACCAAGAACGTCTTGTCATCAGAAGGCTGGCCTTTGACCCGAAGCTCAGCCAGACTTTGGAGGTTCCTAGGCAAGGAGTCAACAAGAGATCTCAAGAACAGAGGTCTTCGTGTAGCGAAAAGATGACCATTTTGGGTAACATCCTGGAGAAGAAATTGAACTTGCAACAGGGACTGTCCATTTGGAGGCAGAGCCCCAGACCAAAGGAAGAGGAAGGAAGAGGCCGAAAGAGAGGCAAAGGGGAAGGCAGAGGAGGACAGGGAGGGAGACCACCACAACCATCATCCACTTCTGTGGACAAGCAGAGCTCCACCCTCAGCAGCATCCTGCAGGGGAAGCTCCATCTCTGCAGGAACATCCTAAAAGGAAAACTCTGCTTCTGGAACAAAAGCCAGGAACTTTCCAAAACCAGGAGAACTGGGAAATATGGTGGGGTGCAGGGAAAAAAATCGGGGGCGGCTAAGTAGATTGGCTGTATTCTGCAGTACCTTTTCAACAATAAATCTTCATTTTTGGCAGTGTTGTGTTTAGGGTCTGCAATGCCTGAAAGAACATAGAATAACGTTGGAAGGGGCCTTGGAGGTCCTCTAGTCCAGGGCTTTTCAACCTTTTCACCCATTGTACCACTTTTAGGATATGGCAATATCCGAGTACCACCAGTCACCTAGCAAGAGGTCAAAAACTTGATGACCAAAAAAAAAAGGGGGGGGGAAGTGATAAAGTAACAGGTAGTCCTCGACTTACAACAGTTCGCTTAGTGACTGTTGAAGTTACAGTGGCACTGAAAAAAGTGCCCTGAAGCCACAGCCCAGCAAGACACCTGCCTGCTCGCCCGGCGGCGCCCTTCCTCCTGTCCGAGGTTTTCGTTGTTGTGAGCATTTCTGTTGAGGATTGGCAGTAGGGGTGGTGTGGAGGGTGTTTGTTTTTTATTTCCCCCATCTGCTGGGTGGTTGCAGCAGGTTTTGGTCACTTCACATGACCCTGGGACACTGTGACCGTCATAAATATGAATCAGTTGCCAAGCATCTGAATGTAAATCACAAGACCCTGGAGATGTTGCAACATTCCAGCTGATCGGTGCTTCTTCAGGGTTCAGCAGAAGCACCAGGATCAGCACCGAGCTCCAGCTGGAGCCTGGCGCTGATCCTGGTGCTTCCGCTGAGCCCTGACAGCCCTGCAGCTCCAGCCATCTCTCGCTCAGGCTTGTGCGATGCTGCCACTGATTCAGTTCATTCCCCTCCCCCGCTACCACTTTTCTAGGATGGTCACGTACCACCTGCCAGGTGCCAATGTACCACAGGTGGTACCCGTACCACTGGTTGAAAAGCCCTGCTCTAGTCCAACCTCCTGCTCAAGCAAGAGACTAGTATTCTGGACAAATAGCTGTCTAGTTTCTTCTTGAAAGACTCCAGGGATGGAGCACCCACAATTTCTGGAGGCAAGCTTCCCACTGATTAATTAACAGAGAAACAGAGCTGGAAGGGACCTTGGAGGTCTTCTAGTCCAACCTCCTGCTCAAGCAGAAGAACTCATACTATTCCTAATAAATGGCTGTCCAATCTTTTCTTAAAAACCTCCAGGGATGGAGCACCCACTAACTGCTGAAGGCAAGCCTTTCCACTGAATAACAGAGTTGGAAGGGACTTTGAAGATCCTCTAGTCCAGAGGTCCCCAACACCCAGACCATGGCCGACTACCAGGCCATGGCTTATTTGGAACTGAGCCATGTGAGCAGTGGGCTGGCATGCACATGCGCATGCAGCTCAACTCATGCAAGCAGCAGGCTAGCGCACACTGAGCTGTGCACATACATCAGCCCATTGCTCGTACGGCCTGGTTCCTGTCTCCCCCACCCCTAACCGTGCCACCAAGCCCCAAAGGTTGGGGACCGCTTGTCAACTGTCCAGTTGGCATTTCCAGAAAAAGAAACTCCTCAGACATGATTTTACCAAGAGTCTAATACTTTACTGAAAGTTTACATTGGCACAGAAGAAGCAAAACCAGCTCTGATTTTCCGGCTCGAAGGCTTGCTTAGTTAAACAATAAATTCCCTCATCCCCACCCACCAGGTGTTCATATTGTCCAATAGTAACATTTGTTCTTGTTATGGAAACAGTCCACTTCTCTGCCGAGCACTTGCGTTAGTGACCTGGGCTCTCAGAAGCCTCGGTTGCCTAGATACCACCCCTCCCCATTCTGCATCCCATCCCACTGTAAAGCTATGAGCGAGGGTGAAAGGGCGAATCAGTCTCGACATTACTGCTCTAGTCCAACCCCCTGCTCAAGCAGAAGACCTTATACCAGTGATGGCGAACCTTTTAGACACCGAGTGCCCCAAAACCGACCTGCCTGCCCCCGCTCTGTCCCTGCCCTGCCCGTGCCCCCGTCTGCCTGCAGGGCCACCTACCGCCTCCACGGCCTGCTGCAGATCACCCAGGCAGCCCTGCAGCGCCATGGCAGCCATGCCCTTTGCCCGCACCCTGCAGCATCATCTGCATGCAATGGGGCACGAGGGCAGAGTCTTGTCCCTGCTGCCCAGCTGCCATGTCTTTGGCTGCACTGCTCTGTATGGGCCGCGCCTGGGGGCAACTCTCCTCTGGGGGGCTGCTGGTGAAGAGGGGTCCATGGGGGAGGCGGGGCTGGGGCGACGGCGCGCGTGCCCACAGAGAGGGCTCTGCATGTCACCTCTGGCAAGCGTGCCATAGGTTCACCACCACTGCCTTATACCATTCTGGGCCACTGGCTGTCCATCTCTTCTTGAAAACCTCCAGTGATGGAAGCACCACAGACTGGTCACTCATCTGCTCCTTGAAGGGGAGGGGTCATTTTTTTTACTGCTGGTTAAGTCCTCGATTTATGACCATAATTGGGTCCAGAATTTAGCTGCTAAGCAAGTTGGCGGTTAAGGGAGTTGCACCCAATGGTTAAGTGAACCATTGCAGTTGTTAAGGGAACCATGTGGTCGTTAAACAAATCGGCTTCTCCCCGTTGACTTTGCTTGTTCGAAGCCAGCTGGGAAGGTTGCAAGTGGGGTTCTCAGTTGTAGTTGTAAGTCGAGGACTACCTACACAACAATCCTGCAAGTCATGAGTAGCACCAATTCGGTTGCTGGTCAGCATCCCTGTCCAGTTCAAAATGCTGGCCATTCCCCCTGAAGCTCTTTATGCTTGTCGAAATAATTTTACAACTCAGAGTAATTTTATTCATGCACTCCCTGTGAACTTCGTTAATCATATACGTGCCTGTAGCCAGAAGATAGTATATTAATAAATATTAATAAAGGAGAATATTTGTAGCTCAGGGTTGAAGTGTAGGGTCCTTGGTGCTATCCGAGCTTGGTGGTTTTCTTGCAGACGTTTCAGGACCCAACTAGGTAACATCATCAGTGCTAGGAGGGAGGAGGAGGAGGAGGAGGAATGTGGGGTCCTTGATGCTCTCTGAAGTGGGTTGTTTTCTTGCAGACATTTCAGGACCCAACTAGGTAACATCATCAGTGTTAGAAGAAAGGAGGAAGAGGAGGAGGAGGAATGTGGGGTCTTTGGTGCTCTTTGAAGTGGGTTGTTTTCTTGCAAATGTTTCATGACCCAACTAGGTAACATCATCAGTGGTAATCCTAGTCTGGGTTGTGAAACATCTGCAAGAAAACAATCAAGCTCAGATAACACCAACGACTCCTCAGAAACTATATTGCAAAGACAATATAAGGTTGCAAATACTCTTCAACTAGTTGTAGCCAATAATTGACAGCCAGGCTGAAATTGATTAAATCAAGCAAATAATAGCACACAGGGAAAATCCCTTATAATACAAACTTCCCTGAGCGTACAGATGTGGCATTCCAGAGTCAGCACATAGACACACACCAAAGAAAAGATCGACACACTCAGCAAAATAAGATAAGGCCATCCCTACTGGAGCTGCATGTCCACCAAATTAAACATTACAAAGGGCACATTCACACACACATCTCACAAAGGACCGTCTTTCTTATAAGCATTACCAACCTCTACAACCAAAATTGTAGCTACCTCAAGGGCTGTTTCTATGCTCTTGAAAAAGAGAATAACAGAATTAGAAGGGACCTCGGAGGTCTTCTAGTCCAACCCCCTACTCAAGCAGGAAACCCTATACTATTCAGGACAAATGGCTGTCCAATCTTTTCTTGAAAAGCTCCAGTGGTGGAGTAACCAGAACTTCTGGAGGCAAGTCGTTCCACTGATTAATTGTTCTCACTGTCAAGAAATTCCTCTTTAGTTCTAGGTTGAATCTCTCCTTGATTGGTTTCCATCCATTGGTTTTGTCTTGCCTTCTGGTGCTTTGGGGAATAGGTTGAACCTCTCATCTTTGTGGCAACCTCTGAAATACTGGAATACTGCTATCATGTTGCTCCAGGTCCTTCTTTTCATTAAACTAGGCCAGAGGTAGGCAACCTTGGCTCTTTTATGACTCGTGGACTTCAACTCCCAGAATTCCTGAGCCAGCCGTGCTGAGGGGAAAGGGAGACGTTTCCAAGCTGAGCCATGCTGGCTCAGGAATTCTGGGAGTTGAAGTCCACGAGTCATAAAAGAGCCAAGGTTGCCTACCCCTGAACTAGGCATACCCAATTCCCGCAACTGTTCTTCATATGTTTTAGCTCCAGTCCTCTAATCTTCTTTGTTGAATATACTTCTTCTTCTTCAAGCAGTGACTCCAGTATCATTCTTATGTAAATCCTGGCTCAAACCGGAGCAGGATATTCTTCTGACATGCTAGTTGGGGATTATCCCCCCTTTGGGGATCCCATTTGAAAAGATCTTCCACATGGCCAAGTCCCACTTGCTCTAAGTCCAGAGGGATACCATAAGCCTCATAGCCAGGCATGTGAATCAGATGTATGACTGCGATGCAACAGGTAATGCCAAAGCTGAGCTGAGCTGAGCTGGCCTTTGAAGGTTTCCAGATCTACTACCCATCTCACCAACCTTCCAATCCTTGAGGGGCCCAAGGAAAGCAGGTGTGAACTCCACCTTTACTCTTCATCACCTGGGAAGCGGGGAAAATCCGGAGGATAGTAGGGAGTCAGAACTAATCCAGGATGCCTCGCACAAGCTGCCTGCAATTTCCACTTCGTAGTTTGGTTTAACGATTTCATTGTAAGTCTGGAAGGAGGACAACAAAAACAAAGCAAAGCATCAGAATTGGGACACTCTCAAGAACACAAATTGGCTTGCAAATCTCTGCTCATCAGAAGCTCTGCAGGGAGTTGGGGGTGGGGGGTTTCAAGCTATTCTCCAAAGCCCCTGAAGGCAGGACAAGAAGCAACAGGATGGAAACTAATTAAGGAGAAAAGCATCCTGGAACTAAGGAGAAGTTTCCTGACAGGGAGGACAATTAATCAGTGGAACTACTTGCCTCCAGAAGTGCTCCATCACTCGAGGTTTTCAAAAAGAGATTGGACAGCCATTTGTCTGGAAAGGTATAGGGCAGTGATGGCGAACCTTTTAGAGACCGAGTGCCCAAACTGCAACCCAAAACCCACTTATGTATCGTCGGGTGCTGGGCGGGTGTGGCCCATTGGGTGGGCGTGGCCCATTGGGTGGGCGTGGCTTCGGTGTAACGGCAGACTGGGTGGGACTAAAAAGCTCAATCAATCAATTCCAACTTTGCAAGATCTTTTTTTTTCCCACGAGAAGTTGAAATTGGTTGATTGGTTGAACCTTTTTTTTTTTGCACACAGTGGCGGCGGCCTAAAGTGAAAAGGCTTTATAAAACCCAGATGAAGGCCTAGGACTGGGGCGATGGTGCACGTGCCCACAGAGAGGGCTCTGAGTGCCGCCTCTGGCACCCGTGCCATAGGTTCGCCACCACAGGTATAGGGTTTATTCCTGAAAAAGAGGGAAAAGAAAAGTGAGGGATAAGGAAGAAGGAAAAATGCATTGACTTCCAACTTTTTCAGTGCAGTAACTTCGCCATCACAGGTATAGGGTTTATTCCTGACCTGAGTGTTAGACTAGAAGAGCTGAGAGACATGTCCAAAGAGGTCAGTCTTTTGAGCAAAGATGCCAATTCTGGCATAAATTCACAAGCCACAGGGCCTTGTTTTGGAAGCTGATATGGGTGTTGCCCACGAGCCAGGTGGTTGGGAGACCGCTTGACAAAACATTACGCAGAGATTAAATCATCTTTATTTTTCATAGCAGCTTTTGGGAGACTGGGAAATTCAACGAATCAGGGCTGGAAGATGAGAGTCAACTTAAGATGGCAAGGATGTCGTCTCTGTTCCACTCAAAGCTCAAAGGACTTTATTTCGGTCGTTGACCAAGATCCGCTCAAAAAAAAAAAAAAAAGACAAGCTAAATGTACTGTTCCCAATGATAACAAGAGTTGAAAGGGACCTTGGAGCCCCTTCCAACTCTATTATTTTTTTATAATTATTTATTATTTATCATATTGATAGCAATATTCCAATATTTGAGGGGCNGGGGGGGGGGGGGGGGGGGGGGGGTCAAGCTATTCTCCAAAGCCCTTGAAGGCAGGACAAGAAGCAACAGGATGGAAACTAATTAAGGAGAAAAGCATCCTGGAACTAAGGAGAATTTTCCTGACAGGGAGGACAATTAATCAGTGGAACTACTTGCCTCCAGAAGTTGTGAGTGCTCCATCACTCAAGGTTTTCAAAAAGAGATTGGACAGCCATTTGTCTGGAAAGGTATAGGGCAGTGATGGCGAACTTTTTAGAGACCGAGTGCCCAAACTGCAACTCAAAATCCACTTATGTATCGTCGGGTGCCGGGTGGGTGTGGCCCATTGGGTGGGCGTGGCCCATTGGGTGGGCGTGGCTGCGGTGGTAATGGCAGACTGGGTGGGACTAAAAAGTTCAATCAATCAATTCCAACTTTGCGAGATCTTTTTTTTCCTGCAAGAAGTTGAAATTGGTTGATTGATTGAACCTTTTTTTTTTTTCACACGGCGGCGGCCTAAAGCGAAAAGGTTTTATAAAACCCAGCTGAAGGCCTAGGACTGGGGCAACGGTGCGCGTGCCCACAGAGAGGGCTCTGCATGCCACCTGTGGCACGCGTGCCATAGGTTCGCCACCACAGGTATATAGGGTTTATTCCTGACCTGAGTGTTAGACTAGAAGAGCTGAGAGACATGTCGAAAGAGGTCAGTCTTTTGAGCAAAGATGCCAATTCTGGCATAAATTCACGAGCCACATGGCCTTGTTTTGGAAGCTGATGTGGGTGTTGCCCACCAGCCAGGTGGTTGGGAGACCTCTTGACAAAACATTATGCAGAGATTAAATCATCTTTATTTTTCATAGCAGCTTTTGGGAGACTGGGAAATTCAACGAATCTGGGCAGGAAGATGAGAGTCAACTTAAGATGGCAAGGATGTCCCCTCTGTTCCCACTCAAAGCTCAAAGGACTTTATTTCGGTCGTTGACCAAGATCCGCTCAAAAAAAAAAAAAAAAGACAAGCTAAATGTACTGTTCCCAATGATAACAAGAGTTGAAAGGGACCTTGGAGCCCCTTCCAACTCTATTATTTTTTTATAATTATTTATTATTTATCATATTGATAGCAATATTCCAATATTTGAGGGGCTGCTACAAAGACGAGGGGGTCAAACTATTTTCCCAGGTCCCTGGAAAAACTTTTACACTTACATCAACTTTTGAACCTTGCAGCACCTTTGTCTCAACCCCTGGCACAGCTGCCTGACTCCTTCATCTCCCAGGCTGTTATCGCCCAGATTCAGCTCCAAGAGGGTCTGGCTGGTCTCCAAAACAGAGGCCAGGTCTTCACAGGCAAGGGCTGTCATGCCACAGGAGTGTAAACTGCAATAGAAGACAAGGACGTGTAAAAAAGATGTTGAGACTCTAGAAAGAGTACAGAGAAGAGCAACAAAGATGATTAGGGGACTGGAGGTTAAAACATATAAGGAACGGTTGCTGGAATTGGGTATGTCTAGTTTAACGAAGAGAAGGACGAGGGGGGACATGATAGCAGAGTTCCAATATCTCAGGGGCTGCCCCAAAGAAGACGGAGTCAAGCTATTCTCCAAAGCGCCTGAAGACAGGACAAGAAGCAACGGATGGAAACTCATCAAGGAGAGAAGCAACCTAGAACTAAGGAGAAACTTCCTGACAGTTAGAACAACTAACCAGTGGAACAACCTGCCTCCAGAAGTTGTGGGTGCTCCAACACTGGAAGTTTTTAAGAAGAGACTGGACAGCCATTTGTCCGAAATAGTATAGGGTTTCCTGCCTGAGCAGGGGGTTGGACTAGATGACCTCCAGGGGTCCCTTCCAACTTTATTATTATTATTATTATTATTATTATTATTATTATTATTATTATTATTATTATTGTTGTTGTTGTTGTTGTTGTTGTTGTTGTTGTTGTTGTTGTTGTTGATCATCGCACAGTCAGCCAGATGTTCAGACTGGATTTGGCATTTTTGTCTACCTATCGAGTCCTTACCAAGGACCTGGGATAGGCAGATGTGGATGTTTGATGGTATTACAGATATCATCGCAGGATGGAAGCAGTTCCTAGTAAGGCCGCCTTTTGCAATTGACTAATGGAGAATTTGTCAATGCCGATGGTGTTCAAGTGGTGCTCCAGTTGTTTTGGGATTGCACCCAAGGCGCCTATTACTATTGGTACTAGTCTTGCTTGCTTTTGCCACAGTCTTTCTATTTCTATTTGTAGGTCTTTGTATTTTGTTGTTGTTGTTGTTGTTGTTGTTGTTGTTATTATTATTATTATTATTATTATTATTATTATTATCACTCGAGGTTTTCAAGAAGAGACTGGACAGTCATTTGCCTGGAATGGTATAAGATCTCCTGCTGGAGGAGGGGGTTGGACTAGAAGACCTCCAAGATCCCTTCCAACTCTGTTATTCTGCTGAGTGCTTGGCAATCAGGTTGTATTTATGGCTGGTTGCCAAACACACCATGATCGCATGATCATTTTTTTGCCACTGTCCCTGCTGCAAACAGAAAGATGGGAATTGCTGGTGACATCTTAGGGCAAGGGTACCTGTTTGGATCTTATCCTATTTCCGACTCATGCAAAGGTCTCCAAGAAGCACAACTGTGACATTCACACAACCAGCTACGTGCTCTGTAGGATGGTTATTATAAGGATGGTTGGGACAGCAGTGAAGGACCAAGGATGAAGGCGTTGCCAGAGGGCGTGTGCAGGATGCAAATATTGTAAGCTGCCCAGAGTCACCTTGGACAGTGAGATGGACAGCATATAAATTGGATTTAAAAATAGTTCTTTATTTTTGCATCCCACCTTTATTAATTTTACAAATCAGGCAGTGAGCATATCCAACATACCTTCCTTCTCCTATTTTACCAAAGTCATCCAGCTGGCTCTCGTGCCCAAGGCAGGACTAGAACTCGCCATCTCCTGGTGACTGGCCCAATGTTGCCCAGCTGCCTGTCGTGCTTAAGGCGGGGCTAGAACTCTCAATCTCCTGTTGATTGGCCCAAAAATCACCCAACCGGCTTTCATGGGTAAGGTGGGACTAGAACTCACTGTCTCCTGGTGATTGGCCCAAAGTCACCCAATGGGCTTTCCTGGCTGAGGCAGGACTAGAACTCACCGCCACCTGCTTTGAAGCCAGATGCCTCCACCACTAGATCAAACAGGCTCTTTCTGGGTAGAAGACGAGAGCGTAGCCACATGTAATATGGCGCTCAGCCATTTGCTCAGGGGATCCAACCAGGAGTCAGACCTTCCTCCAACCTCTTAAACTCCTAATAAACTTCTTTTCATTTTCAGAATTAAAATTCAGAACGTTGGGGGTTTTTTTCACTTTCATTTCTGCTCTGGAATGAATCTTTTGCTTCTGAAACAAGCTTGAGAAATTTCCTGGGAGAAGAATATCCTGGTCGCTTCCCTAGTCCTTCTCATGCTCTTGGTGGTGGCTGAAGAAGAAATTTGGAGGTGTGTGTGTGTAAACTGACCTTCCCATGCCCAGCTGCCAACCGGCTCCAAATGCTGTGGGAAATCCAGGGGCTGAGATTAGGAAATCCCTCACCCCACTGTGGGAAGTCAGCCCCCCCCCCTGAGAAGGAAATATTAAAAGGGCAAAAAAATATATTTCTCAAAGGATCTTAAAGAGGCAGAAAAGCATGCCCAGTTTTCTTAATAGCCCCAAATCTCCTTCCCCCAAGCAGAAACCAGCTCTGTACAAATGCAGATGTAAATAATCCAGGAAGGTTGGAAGCCCCCAGCTAGAAGATTAAGAAGACAAAGACACCTACAATCTACATACCCTACCCAAAGTCTAAGACAGGACATAATAGGATTAACTCACAGATGCCAAAGGGCATACCCAGACTCAGGTCAGAATACATGACAGAGGAAATACAAAGCCTCAAACAGGAACAGGAAACAACTCCAAACAAAAGGCTCCAGAGGGTATAAAAACCCACTCCCTACATGTGTTCTCTCTCTTTTCTTCCAGAGCCATCTTTCTGTCTGGCTCTCCTCTTCAATAAACTGCAATCTTCTTTCTAAAGCAGTCGCCATGTTGTTTATTCCCGGCTTGGATTGAACCACGATGAAGACATTTCCTTCAACACCACTTACATGAGTCTCTGCAGCCCAGAAGAGGGGTGCTTCAGCCCTTGGCACAGCAGCTTTGCTCCCCCATCACCCAGGGGGTTCGCCCCCAGATTGAGCTCCAGAAGGGAATGGCTGGATTCCAGGACCTGTGAAAGGAGCTGGCAGATGGTGGCCGTGAGGTTGCAGGAGTACAGCCTGTAGGAGACAGAGAATGGGGGGGGGGGGAAGAGAATTTGTACTGGGGTTATAGAATCATAGAATCCTAGGGCTTGAAGGGATCCTGGAGGTCTTCTACTCCACCCTTATACCAGGGGTCTTCAAACTTGGCCCTTTTATGACTTGTGGACTTCAACTCCCAGAATTCCTCAGCCAGCAAGCCTGGCCTAGGAATTCTGGGAGTTGAAGTCCACAAGTCATAAAAGGGCCACGTTTGAAGACCCCCTGCCTTATACCATTCCAGGCTGCTCACCTGAGGCTTTGAAGTTGGCAGGTGGGCTGAAGAAGCCATTCACGCAAATGGGTGACCCCGGGATCCTCCAGGGGATTCTCACCCAGGTCCAGACTGGTCAGCCTTGTGTTGGTCATTGTGATGGGTGTCAAGTCTTTGCATGCAGTGGGGGAGAGGCCACAGCGGTTCAACCTGTGGAAATTGGGAGACACACCAACATAATTATGGAGGAAATTGGTGGACAACACAATCTGCAGGCAGAACTAGAAGCAACAGATGGAAACTAATCAAGGAGAGCAGAAAGTTAGAACTAAGGAGAAACTTCCTAGCAGTGAGAACAATTAACCAGTGGAATGACTTACCACTAGAAGTTGTGCATGCTCAATCAATGGAGGTTTTAAAAAAGAGATTGGACAACCATTTATCTGAGATGGGATAGAGTCTCCTGCCTGAGCAGGGGGTTGGACTAGAAGATCTCCAAGGTCCCTTCCAGCCCTGTGATTCTAAGTGTAGCCTTCCCTTCAAAGAAGAGGAGGGGTCACCCTATTCTCCAAAGCACCAGAAGACAAGACAAGAAGCAACAGATGGAAACTAATCAAGGAGAGAAGCAACCCAGAATTAAGAAGAAATTTCCTGACAAGAACAATCAATCAGTGGAACAACCTGCCTCCAGAAGTGGTAAATGCTCCAACACTGGAAGTTTTTAAGAAGAGACTGGACAGCCATTTGTCTGAAATGGTACAGGGTCCCCTGTTTGAGCAGGGGGTTGGACTAGAAGACCTTTAAGGTCCCTTCCAACTGGGTTATTCTGTTATTCTCCCATTCTTCATACTTTATCACCCACCGGATCAATGTTTCTTAATTTGAAGATGGGTAACCTTCAATTCCCAGAATTCCCCAGCCAGCCATGGGAAATTCTGGGAGTTGGCTGGCTGAGGAATGCTGGCCGGAGAATTCTGGGAGTTGAAGTCCACCCATCTTCAAGTGCACAAAGTTGAAAAACGCTACACCAGATATTTTTATAGGGTTTTTGTTGTATAATACAGAGAGTTCTCAACTTACAACAGTTCATTTAGTGACCATTCAAAGTTAACAACAGTGCTGAAAAAAGTGACTTATGACTGTTCTTCATAACTGCAACCTTTGTAGCATCCTCGATGATCATGTGATCAAAATTTGGGTGCTTGGCAGTTGGTATATACTTATGACCAATGCTGTGTTATGTGATCCATTTTGCGACCTTCTGACAAGCAAAGTCAGTGGGGAAACCAGATTCACTTAACAACCAGGTTGTAAGTCAAGGACTATCTGTATTGATTGTGATCCTGGACAATTACCTAGGATTAGCCTGGTTGGACTAAATATTTACACCTTAAATTACCCAATCCTAGGATCACAGCCTTAATGCTTTGACATTAAGTTTTGAACCCATTGCCAACTCAACTATTCCTTGGGTCTCTTTCTACTTACTGGATCTCTGAAGATTTCAAGAATCCTGGTAAAAGTTGTTGGAATCTTTGAGGTCCAAACTCATAGCCAGAGAGCTGAACTGAATTCAAAGATTCAGCAGCTGACAGGCAAAATGATAAAGCTTCAAAGTCCAGCTTGGTCAAAAGTTGTGTTCTGAGATCCATATTGTGGATATGCTTCATTGTTGTCTGGGCAAAGACGGTGTCCTTCATTTCATAAACACAATGACACAATTCCAGCAGATCCTCCTGTCTTCTAAAGGAGTGAGCCTTGGCTTCCTGATCCACCCACCTTAGCAATTCTGGCCAAACCTTAGTCGTGGATGTCTTGAAGGACCACGATTCTTGAAGGACACTCATCCTTTCCACGTTGGACAAGCCGTGGAGAAAATGGATCAACATGAGGTATCTGTTGCTGCTCCCTTTCTTATCACCAAATATCTCACTCAAGTCTTGGTAAGGTGTTCTGGTGGTCTCCTCAGTGTCCAGCAAGTAGAACAAGGCAGCAAAGAACTCCTGAAAACTCAAGTGGGTGAACCTGTACAAGGTTCCCACCTGAACATCTTGGAGGAAAACTTTCTTATTTGCAGAAGGAGAGTCTGAAGTCAAGTAATCCAAGCCACGTTCCTTTAGCTCTTCTTCATGGAAGACCATTGTTCCATGGATCATCCCATCTTTCGCTAAAGAGCACAGGTCTTCCAGGTGACCTTGCTTGGAAAAGGTACCCAAGAAACTCAAGAGGAGACGCAGGTGAATTTCGGTGAGTGTTGCAGTTTCTGGGATATCTTGAAGAAGTTCTATCTGTGGGTTTTGTTGAAAAATGGAGCCAATGACGCAACAGGTTGCAGGGAGAAAGCAGAGACTGAAAAGAGTTTCATTTCTTTGAACCAGTTCAAAGATCTGGTTGGCTTGTTCCATATTTTGAAAGAAGCGACGAAAATATTCCTTCCTCTTCACAGGATGAAAACCCAACACCTCTACCAAGAGTGGTGATCTCAGATACTTCAACACTGGGCTTGCACCCATGGGCCTTGTGGTCACCAGGAGATGACACTTTGGAAAGATCTTTTTCTTGAGCAGACCCATCAACAGCTTCGCCATCTCTTGCTTTCGATGGGGATCCTTGTCCAGCATATCAACTGGGACATCAGAGAGCTTCAGGTCCTCCAAACCATCAACAATGAGGAGGAGGTTGTCTTGGTTGGCCAAAACATCCTCCATGGAAACCATTCCTGAAGGACAATTGTTGAGGATCATCTCCGTTGCACTCATAAACTTGGCGCCACAGCGGAGCGCATCGCAAGAGATATAAAAGGCGTAATCAAACTTGGTCCGCCATAGTTTATCTGATGCCCAGTCCAACATGAACTTCCACGTGGCTGTGGTTTTTCCTACCCCAGAAGGTCCAAGCAACAAAAGAGTTTTGGAGTTTTCTCCTTCCGGATCGGGATGAAATAAATTCTCCAGATCAATGTTCAGGCCACCTTCTGGATGGGTCTTCATCTCCCAGTACTTTCTTTCCACAGCCATAATCTCATGACCTCTTTTGGGCAGATCTGGTCTCCTCTTCAGAAGAAGGTCTACATAGGTCTCTTGGAGGGTTACCCTTGGATTGGGGTGCGGACCCAGTTGAGGAAGATTTTGAAAAACCTGTCGGATGTGCCTCTTATATTTCTTCTTGCGATCTGAAGAAACACACCAAAAGAAAGCATTTGTAGATGAATGTGATATGTTATTTTGAATATATATTAGTAAGAAAAATGATATGTGTTGGCCAACTGATACTGTTTATGATTATCGTTTATCATATTTACTACAGCTATTTACCATTATAATAATTAGTATTAACTGAACATATGTACCCGGACAATAGTCTCTTTGCTAAAGCTTGAAAATGTCATTGGGGGGGTAACCCCAATGTTGATCCCAATCCTGTCCCAATCCCAATCCCAATCCTGATCCCAACCCTAACCTAAACCTTAAACCCTATCCCGATCCTATCTTATTCCCAACCTTATAAAACTCAATAAAACTTTTTTTTTTTTAAAAAAGAAAGCATTTGTAGTTCAGTGGCAGAAATAAAAGAGGTTCCCCTCATTTTACAACAGTTCATTTAGTGACCGCTGAAGTTACAGCAGCACTGAGAACAGTGTCTTATGACCATTTTTCACACTTACAACCATTGCAGCATCCCCATTGTCATGTGATCAAAATTCAGATGCTTGGCAGCTGACTCATACTTATGACGGTTGCACTGTCCCGGGGTCAGGTGATCCCCTTTTGTGACTTTCTGACAAAGTCAATGGGAAACCAGATTCACTTAACAACTGTGTCACTAACTTAACAACCAAAGTAATTCATCTTAACAACTGTGGCAAGGAGGGTGGTAAAATGGGGCAAAACTCACTTGACAAATGTCTCACTTAACAATAGAAATGTTGGACTCAGTTGGCCGTAAATCAAGGACTACCTGTACTTTCTAAGCTAAGGTCCAAATTGTTTTGACAGGGAATGGGCAAAGGGGAAACCAGGCCAGATGGTTGGTTGGTTGGTTTGTTTAAAAGAGACTTGTAAGTCCGACCTTGGAAAAACACAGCTAGTCCTCGACTTACGACCGTTTGTTTAGCGACCGTCCGAATTTACAACGGCACTGAAAAAAGTGATTTATGACCATTTTTCACATAACCATTGTAGCAGCCCCAGAGTTATGACGGCTGCTGTGTCCCGGGGTCATGTGATCCCCTTTTGCGAAGTTAATGGGGAAGCAGTGCTGGCTGGGGAATTCTGGGAGTTGAAGTCCAAACATCTTCAGGTTGCCAAGTTTCAGAAACATTGGCCTAGACCAGGGATAGGCAATCTTGGCTCTTTTATGACTCCCGTGGACTTCAACTCCCAGAATTCCTGACCCAGCCATGCTGAGGGGAAAGGGAGAGGTTTCCAAGCTGAGCCATGCTGGCTCAGGAATTCTGGGCGTTGAAGTCCAGGAGTCATAAAAGAGCCAAGGTTGCCTATCCCTGGCCTAGACTCACTGACAAAGGCTAATAAGGCGGCAGTGGTATTTCAGAGTATAGCGGCCATGACAGAGAACCCCCACACACACCTGTTCTCCCAAATTCTGCTAAGGATGAGACCCCAATAGGCATCTTCCACTTGGTGGAGATGATCCCTTCTAAGGTATCCTGAAGCCAAGCAATGGAGAGCTTCCTAGCTCCACACTGCCATTTTGTGATGGTGTCATCGTCCAGCTCGAGATTCCAAATAAATTTCCAGGTTCATTCCGTCTCCGAAAATCTTATTGTTTATTGAATACCCAGCACGGTAATGTCGAAGCAAAACTAACTCTGAGGTTCCCAGACACCAGTTCACAGAATTAAACAATAATTTATCTGGCCAAACCCCCACTCTCTCACATAGTCCATGTAAACAATTTCACTTTGTTAGGGGAACTGTCTGCTTACTCTCCACACCTGCTGCAGTGTCCTTGGAAAGGTTTCAAGCTCTCAGTGGAGCCATAGAGGTTTTGTTTCTCTATCTAACCTATTCTAAAGCAACACCTCCCCCCCTTTACTCTAATGGCAAGTTGAAATGAAGAGGCATGTAGCTGCCAAAGTTTCATTCTTGACAGATGGATTCAGAGGCTCCTGATGACCAGGACTTAGGGGACAGTCTCAATTGTGAATACGTACAGATGGCTCCTCTCTCTCTGGTTACTTGCAGGCCTATACATGCAGGGTCATGAAAGGACAGCAAAGGAAACACCCAAACCCATCCCAGGACAGCTGGTATCTTAGGGAAACACCTAAACCACCCAACAGTGAACATATGGTCTTGGGGGGAAACACCCAAAAGGGAACATATTAGCTACTCCTGCTTTCTGATCTACAGTGTGCCAGCCTTAAAGGGCGAAGTTTTAATCTTATGTGTGTCAGCTTTGCTGGGTGAATTGATTATGTCAGTGGTGGCGAACCTATGGCACGGGTGCCAGCAGCGGCACGCAGAGCCCTCTCTGTGGGCACGCGCACCGTCGCCCCAGTCCTAGGCCTTCAGCTGGGTTTTATAAAACCTTTTCGCTTTAGGCCTCCTCCGCCATGTGCAAAAAAAAAAAAAAAAAAGAAGTTCAATCAGTCAATTTCAACTTCTCGCTGAAAAAAAAAAAAGATCTTGCAAAGTTGGAATTGATTGATTGAACTTTTTAGTCCCACCCAGTCTGCCGTTACCATCGCAGCCACGCCCACCCAATGGGCCACACCCACCCGGCACCCGACGATGCATAAGTGGGTTTTGGGTTTCAGTTTGGGCACTCGGTCTCTAAAAGGTTCGCCATCACTGGCTTATGTAATCAAAGTAGCTATAAGAATAAGGTTTTTCTGCTATTTGGGGCTTTTGGTCTTTTTGTACAGAAGCCCGTCTCTATTCAGCTGAATAAACACATAAGCTTGAAGGCAACTTCTGGTTTCCTGTATTTTTTTTATCAAGCAAAACCTCAGAACCTGCACATCACTCCTTGGAAGTCAAAGCACCAAGCACAAGAGTGACATAACACCTGCCCACCATCTTTTACCCAGTAACAACCTGGCTGCCAGATTTTCTACTAATGGTAGTGTTTGAATCATTTTTACAGCCACTCCCAGCGGAACAATAATCTAACTGAGAGGTGATAAGGGTCTGATGTATGGTTGCCAAGGTTATTCAGGTCCAGATAAGCCATAAAAGTCACAAGAGCAGCAGGGGACAAAGGTTTCCTGGTTATTACTTCTCCTGCAAGTTCCATCTGGAGCCAGCTGTTCAGATGTTTTTCCTTTAAGAGGACAGCAGCTGTATCCAGACCTAGTTCTGGAACCATCTCAGAGCAGAATGTTTTCAGACAAACAACAACTCCATCTTGCTAGGGATCGAGTTGGTTTCTACCATCCAGACCTTCACAGTCTCAGAGACAGGGTTTCGGATGTCCATGGCATTTCCAGTTTAACAGAATAAGGACCTTGGAGGCCTTCTAGTCCAGGGGTGGGGAATCTTGGCTCTTTTATGACTTGTGGACTTCAACTCCCAGAATTCCTGAGCCAGGATATCCCTCTGCGAAAGAAAGCAATAAAACTCCCCCCCCCTCTCTCTCTCTCCCTCCCTCCCTCCAAACTCATCTTTGGCTTCAACCACCCCACCCCACTTTCTCCTTCCCTTTTTCTTTCCTTCCACCCGATCCACGCCCGCTGCGCCCAAACCGGCAGCAGCTGTTTGAGCTTCCTACTTCCCTCTCTCTGGCCAGGCTCCCTCTGGCCAGACTCCAGGGTTGTTTGATCACCATTTTTCACACTTATGACCGTTGCAGCATTCCAGGTTCAGATGATCAAAATTCAGACACTTAGCCACTGACTCATATTTATGACAGTTGCAGTGTCCCGGGGTCACGTGATCCCCCTTTTGTGACCTGACCAGCAAAGTCCACGGGGAAGCCAGATTCACTGAACAACCGTGTTACTATCTTAACAACTGCCGTGATTCACTTAAGAACAGTGGCAAGAAAAGTCGTATAAATGGGCAAAGCTCACTTAACAAATGTCTCACTTAGCAACAGAAATTTTGGGTTCAGTTGTGGTTGTAAGTCGAGGACTATAAATAAAATAAAAGGAAAACATTTGTGAACTGCTGATCAAGTTATTGGGAAACTTACTCAGAGAGTGTAACCATAG